CAACCTCAGACCGCAACGTCCGGCATAAATGTTGGACATACTTTACTGGTTTGTAATGATAGTAATCTGAAAATCTGTCGAATTCAGACTAAATAAGTAATAAGTAAATTATCAAGTATATTTGATCAATATTTCAATCTGAATGGTATATTAATATATAAGAATTTTAAACCGTTAGCATTTTTCAATTATTTTTTTAATAGAACCATTTAATCAGATTAGTGATAAATTCTAAAAGCAACACTGTAGGTTCCTATATAACATCTTTATTTAAAAAATCTTAAGATTATGAATAGATTATAGAACTGAAAAACAAAATACATCTCATTATCACCATCACCAGCCTAATTATGTTCCCATTGGTGGGGCTCAGGCCTTCCCTATGGATGAAATCGAAGCAAATTGAATAGGGAGAATGGGTCATGACCCATCACACTGGCCCAGTGCCGATTGATCTTTAGTAACAATTGCAGATGCAGCCGGGATCAAACGGTTTAGTGTCACTCGAAGCACGGAGGAACTCGAGATATTTTTTTTTTTGGTTCCATAGGATAAGTATCCTATGACCGTTCATTGTGAATTTACTTAACATGCATATCGCAGACCGAGCGTGCTAACCACTGCGCTATAAAGTATCTTAAAAAATATATCTATCAGCCAAAAAGTACAGTACCTACTACTTTAAGAACAATAACTATTCCAAATTGCATACTAAAAGTTAAATACAAAATCGTTTTATGTTGTTTGTCATGCGGGTAGCTTTAACAATAAATGCTGTTGTAATTTTTAGAATTTAGGTAGTGACGAAATAAAATGTTATGAGAAATAAAAAAACTCTCCAATGAAATAAATAAATCTGTTCAGTGAAATGTCAAGTTTATAACTGATTATTAGTCAATATGTGGTGATTAATAAGTGCCTTAATATTAAATGTGAGATTGTTAAAAATGGGTAACACAAATTCGGGACACGGTCACCAGAAGCAGCATAGCAAAAGCAGGAAATGCAGGAGTTTGCCTACTTCCCCGGAAGTCCGAAGGTATGTAAAATAGGTACATTTATACTATTAATCTACGACCTCGGTATCTAATATGCGGGCAACTTGGGTTCGCTTTAAACGGAGTGCAGTCATCATAGTTTTTTGATAGCTCCAAAACAAAATGTGAATAAATATAAACAGTGTACTTCACGCTTTTATGCTATTATATTATCTTGGTGTACTGGTTGATATAATAGTCTTGGGCGTAATAGTTTGCAACTGAGATCTAACGAATTAGTTCGCGACCCGTAAATAAACCAAATTGCTCTTGTAGTTCATAAGTTCGTTTGGGAGAAGTTTTAAAACGAGCAGACGATGTTCCTTGTGATTGGATTATTTCAAGGCATTTCATTCATTTGTTTTATTATTACTTCTTCCTGTTTGTTACAACAGGAGGAGATTATTTAACATTGTATATTTATATCAAATTTTTGCATACAAAAATAACACAAATAGACACATGAACTAATATTCAAAAAATATATTTTTTAATGTAAATACCAAGTTTATTGTTTAGGTAGTGTATTATATACTTTTATTTTTCGCTATTATATATTTAACGAGACGACATCAGTTTGGTCGATTTCACCTTTACTCATTTTGTCATGAACTAACGAACTTCGGGACGGCCATGTGCGAACTAATTCGCGTAGTTCGTCAGTGGGAGCCAGTTCTTTGAACTAGTCCGTTCGCGAAGTAGACAACTCCGTACCTATGTGAATACGTACTAGCCGCTATCTCAACGCTCTATTCAAACGGTTGATCGTACAAAATAAAGGAGGAGACATTTTCATAGATAATTAAATAAGACTGAACGTAAGATATTTGTGAATATATACCGGATCTGATGGGAGAATTTGGTATATTTACTCCTTGTAAGCAATTACGTCAGTATAATTATTTTCATATCCCTAGCTTTACGACCAACTACAAGAGAAATTCATTTGTCTGTAAAGCCAGTACTAAAGGTAATAAAATGTTAAAAGATTTCCCTAATGTGGACATTTTCAACGTAAATTTCAAGTAAATTATTTATGAGGGGCTTATTGGCGAATTCGCATTTTATTTAAAAATATCTATGAAGAAAATTTAATATTATTAGCATTTTATATTACTAGTATGTGTTATAACTTTCTTTCTTTGGTGGGCTATTGGTGAAAACTTGTATAATATTAGTTCGTAGTTAAATAAGTACACGTATTATAGCTGTTTTTCGAATATTTGATGAAATAAATAAAAATAAAACTGATTTTAGTGACCTTCGTCTTAGAATTGCTTTTTTAGCCGGCACGAAATTAATGTCGACATTAGTATTAAAATACTGTGTTAACCAGTACTGAGCTCACTAGGAATCCTGTTAGCGTTTTTTTTGAGTGTAAAAAAGATAAAAATTGTACCACGTTAGTTATAACTTTTATGACCCAAATGTGTCTGCAAAGGTTACTCATCTATTATTTAAATAAATACAAGACGACATCAACAATCTAAGAATAAGTGGCTAAAGCTCATGCTTTATGTAAAATTGAAACAATGCAAAATGAAAATAGGCATACAGATATTATTTTATTTAAAAAATTTAGTTCCGCTATTGCCCGTACGATGGCGCTCTGTTTCAAACTATTTTGCTTATGGATGTAAACGAAATGGTTACGTATAATTGTTAATAATAAATAGAAAATGACAGCATTAAATTTTTTTATTTCAAATTCAATAAACATATTCAGACTTAAGATGCCTCATTTAGTTCCGCCATTGTCCGCTAGAGGTGCTATCGTAGACTGTTTATTTGTTGAACGTAAACTGTCGTTAATTTTATTTTTAAATTTATAAATATAGTTAGATCTGTAAAAACAATTTATCATATAATATTTTTTAAAAAGATACGTACAGCATGATTTGAATAACTTCTATGTGTCTTTGTTTAGTACGAATTAAAAAAACACAAAGGTTAATTATTAAATATTAAAAAGACATAACTAATACAATCTTTAATTACGCTCTTATGTTTATTAATTCACCGTCATAGACATTATGCAACTATATGGAATGTTGCAAAATTTAAAAAGGCATTCAAAAAACTCTTAAAGCAATTCTTACTTTAAAAACGTAAATATCATCATCATCTTTACATTTTTAACATAAAATTATTAATAAACAAGATTTAGCGTTGGAGTAAATTTAAGCTTAGACTGCACTTAATGTTAGTCAAAATTTATATTATTTTACAGAGACTCAGCAAAGGTTAACCTAACACGATGGTTTGCTTATTAGCTGTTTAATATGAATATGGACTAATTCTTAATTGCAATTTTAACGTAAATTTACTCTGACATTAAACCTGTTTATTAATAGCACATAAACCTGTTTATTAATAGAACATCGGTTGAGGCACCGAGAATATATAAACTCTGAAATTATGTACTGATGAAGATATTAATGGTACTATAAATTTTACTCACACCTATGATTGGAATCTAATCTATGATATAAGCGTATTATTTGCGAATAATATGAGCTTACACCGAGGTGGCAGTCTAAATAATAAACGAAACTTACTGAAATATCACGTTGATTTGTTTTGACTTTACATGGAGCCTTCTAATGTTCTGAAGCGTCTTAAATGTAATCAACACTATTATAATTAAGGAGAAAGATTTTAGTAATTTGTTATTTTTTTTGAAACGAGTTATCCCGAAATAACTAGCAGGTACGATTTTAAAAATTCTTTAACACCATTATAGTTAATAATATCATGCATTTTATTGTATGAACTACGCGTAGTATTATTTATAATTTAATAAAATCTTTTTTATTAAATAAAAAAATAACCTTTGATTTTACTTTACCATTCAATTTTATTTGAATTATTCTATTGTATCCATGTATCGCTAAATGAACTTGAGACAATGATTTATCGAGAGAGATTTTATCTCTTATCGCTCCAAACCCAAGGAGGGTTTGTTACTCACCTAATAACAAATATGAAATTCTCCGAAATACGAAATGTCAGTGCCGACTGCTGACACCCCATACCGGCAGCCGGCACGCGACAGCCTCCATTTCCGATACGTGCGCGACCTCACACGGAAACCGGAGTCCGCACGCCACCTACCGATCAAATGACACTTCACAAGATTACGTCACGTATGTCAGGTACCTTATTGACGAAAGAGAAAGATAATAAAATAATTATTGAAAAACTGTGCAACAACATTCCTTTTACACCGTCCTAAGAGACGCGCTAGGCAGGAATCGGTGAAGAAAAAAATAATTGACACCAGATGCAATTCTGATGGTGACCACGATCATGTCATGAGGGACCGACTAGTATAGAGTAGAAAAATAGATTAGTGGTGTTTTACAATATAAAATATCACAGGACTATAAAGATATTCCTATTATACTACTTTTATTGTAAATGCTTTAAAAGAATCGAGCTATACCAGGTTAACTTAATTTTTCAGATACAAGCCTTTTTGTAACCTACGAGCGACGAGACTACTACGAGCAAAGAGAAAGCTCTTTGCTCGTAAATTTTGTATCATAGTTTCTTATATAATTAATTAATTTTATACGAACGCATATGCTGATTGGCCATATTATACCTATTGTTTACATTTCCTGTGCAAGTGTCTTCAGGATTCTAGCTAGAATATAAGATTTGAAAATTTCAATAATCAAAGTGTTATATGTGCTTTTAGAGTTTAATCTAATTTCCCCCTTAAAATTATCATTAGTGTAATATCAATCTGTTATTATTTAGGTATGTTTCCATTAAATTGTCGTAACATTGCTCTTTTGCTAGTGAGGTCTCAAACAAAAACATAAAGGTTTGCATTCTCTTTTCGAATTTCCACGAACGACGCTTCAGAAATAACTTGGTTGAACATTTGTGCCTGTTTGAGCACTCTGCACGTATATACAGCCGTGCACAATGCTTTATAAAATTTTGTGAATAGGTATGCTTGGATATGTTGATTTCGGCATATTGAAGCGCTGCGAAAACATTGTCATACCATCGCACAACTGGAGCGAGTCGTTCCATTGGAAACAAAGCGAGCAGACGTGAATAAGTGAACGGTTTTATGTCGGTGTTTACTATCTATTTTACTTTAATACTAACTTCGAAAAAAGATTTTAAAACAATTCAATGACGAATTTGTCCATAACAACAGAACGAGGTCAACAATATTTTGCCTCATTGATATCGATCTCTTTCAAATGTCAATCAATGTAAGCGCACATTAAGTTTTGATAATATTTTATCGACTAATGCATGTTCCCTTCGGCAAACGCATCAAATGAGTGTAGATAAATTTGCAATTAATTGAAGTTAACAAAGTCGTTGTTGATTTTGATCAATATTTTTAAAAGCATTAAGATTGTTATATTGTAAATATAAATATTGTTATAAAATCAGGCACGCGTATCGGGTCTCGTGTATCTATTACACAAAGTGCCCGGCGTATGTCTAATGACACTTAACAGTGCGTTGCGTTGCGTATGAGCCGCCAGATGTTCATTGTTTAGATTTTGCCCTCATTATTGACTGTTCGTATCGAACAAAGGGCCTGCTTATGTGACATTGTCATGTAGTGGTATCTACTTGGACGAAATTAGTTCTCACGATGCCATGATTAATGGCATGTCATATATAATATGACGAAAAGTTTTACCACGTGGGAAAGATAATAAAATGTTTTTATTTTCATCAATATTTATTACACCCGCAGAATTCTAAATACAGTAAAAAAAAATACTTTGGTAATGACTGATATTAAACAATACTGGGAAGACTTTCCCGGTAACTTAAAATCAAAATATTAAATTTGTCGATGTAGATAACTTGATAATGCTGAGAAGCTTTGAGCTTTAGAGAATTTCGTAATTTTACTACATAAATCGCGTATTGTAAATAATGTATTGGTTGTAAAAGAAGATTATTTACCAATTTTGATGCGATTTTCAGCATAGTATTTGTCAGACTTGAAGAAGGTTTTAGGTATATTAAAAACTTAAACATGAAATAAAACTTAAAAAGATAGAACCGACTTAAAACTAAAAAAAGTGAAAAATTATTTTGGAGTCGGGCGAATAAAAATTAATTAATAACCTACAAAAAACCTCCGCCCGAAATTAATAGCACGTTCTTGAATAAGTCACTTTTGAGATGAGTATTATTTTTCACTTTTTTTAAGTTTTGTTGTAGTGTCTTCGAAGTTTAATATCAAAGTAATTTTATACTAATAACGCAGATATTTTGCTATTAATAAAATTAATAATTGTATTTCATATCCTTGACAGTTAACCAGTACCCTGGGCTTTGCACAGTCGCACTGTAAAAGGACTTTCTAATGCTTACTCAGCTGGTCGACATTTAGATCAATTACACCGTGCAAATGAATGGCGATATTCTATTATAGGACCTAGCTGCCTAATGACGGATTTTTTACTCAGTCGGCTACGATATATTCATAGTTTATTAACCTCAATATTGTTTTTATTAATTCACACAAAATCACCACAATTTTAACTCGATAATAAGAAATAGCTGTGAGTTTAAAAGTCGACCAATAAATTGTGATTTATACTTTTGTCAGTCTATTTATTTTGGTAGCTGACTGGTAATCCCCTTATTCTAAGATATAATAAGCGACAAGGAGAATAGTTTAATTATTCCATAATGATATTAAATAGCGAAGGTCGGTCTTTGTATATGTCTGCTATCGCGCCTAACCCATAAAAAATAGTTGACTTGAGATAGGACATAGGTTGCTTTTTATTGTGGTATAAATAAATAAATTGGGATTTAAAGTTTGTATGGAAGTTCATCATTGTCAAAGATAAAATCATGAAAGAAGAATGGCGAAATCAGACCCCATAATTTACAAAACCGTACATGGATGGCAATTTAATAAATAAATAATATATGTTTAATAGATTTTATTTCTACAAAATGGTGAATTTTAATGTCGGGGAACCAAACTAAAATATTAAATGCTGCTAATAATTATCAAGATAACAAAACGTCTGATGATAGTGCAAAAACAAAACGCGAAAATCTTCTTAAGAAACGTTCTGGTCTACGCAGAAGTACTTTTATAATAAAACTATATCTTGGAAGTGTTTCATGAATTTTGCGCCGGGCAATAAAAGGGCCATCTATTTTAATGGATATTATCGTTTCCTGTACATTGCAATTAATTATATAGCCTTTAAAGTACCATTAATACGCTTAATAATCGAATATAAATTCAAAATAAGATTGTATAGAATCGATTCCGTTCTCTTTAATTGAAAACCACACAATATATCAAAGGGTTGAAGTTTGGATGGTTTATGAAAAAACGATCACATACATCAACGATGTCAGAAGCGATTCTCAATTAATCGCGAGTTTTTCAAACACGTTCTATAGAATATTATCTGTCGCCATTTACTACTAATAATAAGTGAGATATGTGATGTAATGACGTGTACCGACTGAGCGTATGAACGTCATATATATATTCAATATAAAAACTATTATATAAAATACGGTCTTTGAATACTTTCATAAATATTTATTTTATTCGTTCAAATTACGTATTGAATACTTGAAAAATAAAAAAATTGAAAGCTAAGATATCACAACCGATTTAAGAAGATTATTGCCAGTTCTGCAGTTGATCCGATGAAAGGTTAACGTATCGATTATTTTGTTCTAAATAATCGATTGGTTGATTTTATTTGGACATGCTTGTTTTCATCTATGAATGTTCTATGATGATGATGGTGGAATGATAGCGGATGATTGGTTTGGTTTGTTTGTTGTGTGTTCGTTCGTGGAGTTTGATATTTATGTTAATATTCAACTTGACAATTAAGCATGTTTCTTCGACTAACGTTGATATTTGCATTACTTTTGGATTCCGAATGGCAATCGATTCGGTTATAACAATGACAGTTCAATGTGTACATTGCCCTTATTTGTCACTTTCAGTTGTAAAGATTTAATTAAAGGCAAAGGGATTTATTCCACACAGTTTAGTCATATGTTTTAGTCATATGTTATAAATGTTTCTTCTATTATAAGTGTCTGGATCTTGTTAGATATGTAATTATTTTAATCTAGTTTATTAAACGGAGTAACCTGGTTACCATTTTTATTTATTTTAACGTCCATTCAACGTAAAAGCAAAGATGCAATATATAACCCCACAAAGTATTTTATGTCATATCTTTTTAATCCCAACTTTTAAAGGAAAAAGACGATTAGGATTTTGTTAGTTTAGCTTATACCTTCAAGTACACGTTTATTTCATTCATGAACGGGACTTTAAAAATTCAGGTCCAAAGCTATATGGGAGTTCGCCATTGTTCTTTATATTCAGCTATGAATAATATTTATTTTTGAGTTACATAAATGTTGCCCAAAATAATTATACCACGCGAACGAAGTTCCGGGCAAAAGCTAGTTATATATAAAAAAGTAGGTATAATAAGTAGGTTATTTTATTTTTAAAGTAATTAAGCATTATTTTAATTCAGTAAGTCAGATATCGATTAACCGAAGAAGGGAAATAAAGTGGCTGTCAGTTTCATGGTTATTCTCCAAGCGTTAAAATTTATGTCTCTTCTAGTATCAAAGTGAATTGGCGGCATCGGCACTTCGTAGGATTCTATAACGATAAAAACCTTTTTCCGATCTTTATCTACTTTTTTATGGTTTGTGATTTCAGTTGGGTCAAAGAAATGATTGATTTTTAGGTGTAGGACAAAATACCCAGTAGTCGACCTTCTAATGAGAATCTAAAAATAATAATATGAAATATTATATGAGACTATATTTAAAAAAATAAGGGCTTTAAACAAAAACAGCCGTTTTATCATAAAGGTTATTTATTATATTTTATAAAGAGATCAACAAAATGTTATAATTAGATTGGAATTATATAATTAATCAACACTAAACGAAATACGGCACTTTTCACTAGTACTCGGCCTCATGTACACCACAAGTACACCCTCTCTTATCCTGTAGTCGGCCTCTTAGCCACTTACGTACTCTTGCATATTAGACATACAAATTTTTAATATATATATATCTTTTCATAGAAATCAAATAAATTATTCAATAATCACATTATCTTTACATTAAACTCATGGTGACTCCATCTAGCGACGAGTAGCAATACCACTATATTTTATTGATTAACACCACTATAAACTTTGTGAATATACCAAAAAAAAAGTTTCAAATAACTAAATTATCGTATTGAACTTTAGAATGGTTATTTATATAGAACTGGAGTAGGTTATCAAATCAAATCAAATCATTTATTGCATGCCATATTAAAATTATAAGATAGTAAATTTTTTGTTGCTCGTGTACATGTGACGCCCTGTAAGGGCATGGCAATGTTTACAATACAATACAAATATGGAAGATTGCAAAAAATACAAATACCCAAAATTAAATAATATTAGAAATTACATGTCAAAAATTACATGTAAATTCATCTATATTGTAATATGCTTTATTAAGTAAGAATAATTTTAATTGATTATTAAATGACATTTCTGTTTCCAGATTTTTAATATAATTTGGTATATGATTATAGATTTTTATTGACATAGCATGCGGGCCAGACGAAACTATTTCTAATTTAGAGAAGTGCATTTTTAGTTTGTTTAAATATCTATTGCCTCTCCTAATATTTGTTATAGGTGTATAAAATTCTGGGTGTTTCCTTACGAACTTACATGTTTCAAGAATTTAAGGTTAAGCAAGTAGACAAGTTCTAAACCAAAGAAAGTTATTCATATAAGTAAAAAAAAATACTAATGAATCCACTTTGTCCTTGGCACTCTGAGATTTGACTCGAACCCATGATCTTTCGCGATCGGTGCGACTTTCGCAAAACTGCGAATGCCAAAGACTACTCGTCTGTTTAATTTAATAACTTAGCCTCAAACAATATCGTGCAGAGTGAGACTTGAAAATATTTTTCTCCTAGCTTCTTCGTGATTACCCTGTCTAAAGTGCCATAACTATAATAGAGTTTAGCTTCCTAGCCGGTAGTTTATTATAGAGTCGTGACCAAAGACCGTGTCTGGAAACCGGAATTATTGTAGACCCGGCCATCCACAATCTGCATTTTTTGTATTATTGTTACTGTAGCCAAACCGCAGCAGGCTAGATTCAGTAGGTACTACTTATAAAACTTAACCACGATATTGACACTTTAATGGCTTATAAAGTTTCAATAAACCTTAAGGCAGTTCTTTTTTTAAATATATTAAGTTCGATTAAACTAAATTATAATCGTCGTCGTCGTGGAACGTCAGAACTGACAAATTAAATTATATGACATTTGACCATACGCAAGGCCGGCCCGACCATATAGGCAAACTAGGCATCTGCCTAGGGAGCTCGTATTTGGGGGCGGCATGGCAGCACAAACATTATTGTGTTTGCTTTAATCTATGACCGCGGTTGAATATCGTGGTCATTAATATTAAATTTTCAAACCAAAACAGTACCTAGAGAGTTTATTTTGTCATTACAACATTACAATTTTCAGTCGGTGCACATGTATATTAGTCTTTATTTTGTTGAGATTTTTTATGGGCGTCGTTCCATTGTTTTGTCTAGGACGTCAAATTCTAGTTTTTTGCCTAGGACGTTAAGTTTCATTGAGTCAGCGCTAACAATGCACACTCCACGGAAATTCGGTTGCATACTAACCCTTTTTGAGACGCGACGAATCTTCCGTAAGTTTGCGGGTAAGCTGGGTAACCTAGTCTGATATAATGTTGAGTCTATACCTTTACCATACACTACACGTAGCGAGTGTAAGGTGATATTTGTTGATTACGTACGAGTACCTAATGAATGTCAAAATAATAGTGTTAAGATAGGTATACGTGAACCCAAATTAACTCGGAAGTAGCTCGGTGGCGTAGAGGATAAGCGCCGCGGCACGCGGTCGTTGTTGTTAAGCAACTTTCGCAAGGGTTGGTCACGGGATTGGTGACTAAATAAATATTATCTCGAGCTACTTCGTACTTTGGAAGGCCCGTTATCCGTCGGTCCCGGCTGCATTTGCAGTCGTTAATACCCTCCAATCCGCATTATGCCAGCGTGGAGGGTCATGGCCCATCCTCCTTAACCATCCATAAGGAAGGCCTGAGCCGCTGCAGTGGGGGCGCAAAAAGGGCTGATGATGATGAACCCGAATTTAAGCGATATCAAAAACTTGAATAAGAAGCTATATTGCGGTAAGAACGTGTTAGAAATCGTTATAATAAAAATAAGAATGTATGGATACAGCCTTAAAAACTGAGTTCCACTATTCGCTCTACTTGATTAGTTCAATGTAATGTTCAATGGTAGCCATTAATTTGTGTTTAGTTTTCTTTTCATTCTGGTGTCTAGCCATTGTCTGAGTGGTTTTATTTAATCAAGAGATAGAAGAGATTCCTCCACGTTTATTGTAAATAATACACTGTTTGTTTAACATTACAAGGCTTAAAATAAATATGATACAATTAAACAACGGTAAACGAAAATAAATAGATTAGATTTTCGTTTTATTCTTTTAAGACTTCTTTTTAAAATTTTAGAGCTTCACCTTTTAAACTAAAGCATTGTCCGCTTTTTTAATTATAAAAATTATAATTAGAACTTCTCCTATAGTAATTAACTAAAGATTGCTTGGAGTTACTTACAGATTCACCTGCGCAGGTATAGGTATCGATAAGATCATTTAATGAGAATTCTTTCGCACGAGATATTCGGGAAAATCCTTTTATGGGAATATTATATCCCATATCAATCTATGAACCTAAACGTAGAAGTATGACATATTGATTTCTAAGGTTTATAGTTGATTTTTTGCGTTGAGATTTGTCTTTTAAATTTTGTTTTGAGTTCTTTCATTTAAATACAATAATGGGTTCTAATTGTGTTGTTTTCTTCCTACAAGGTCACTAACATTAAAATAAATAGGTGTGCTACATAAGCTATGCTAAAATTATTATTCAAATTTTAACCACAAATGCATAATACGGCGTAGGTAAATTTTATACAGTAACACTACGAAAATAGTGTATTAGCACGAAATTTCTAAGGTGGTCCTTATTACAACGCGGTCCTTAATTGCCAGGTACATTAATTCTCGCAACAAAATATTATATAATATTAAATAGGAAAACATGTTTGTTATGACGCTGGAAAGCAAACCCGTAAAACCAAAAGTGCTCTTCAGAGCAGAAAAACTTTAATTTCTTTTCGTTAAATAATTCCTATAAACGTCCATGGTAACAAATAAGGTGTTCTTTAATCAAAGGAAATAAGTTCTTTTTTTTTTGGAAAAATAAAAAGATTTTCCACTCCAAATGTCCATTTTAGTTTTGCAGGTTATTACGTGTTTGCTTTCCAGCGTCGGTTTGTTCTTTCATGCCATAATGGTATGATTTTTTGTGTGGCTTGAAAATAATATAGGCTACTTTAGTGGCGAAAAATAAACTATATTATATACTGTGTTTCTCTCTGGCCTCGTGAGCAAAGCTGCCGGTAACACTTAGTGTAATATATTTAATATTAAATTAAGCTTATTCTGTCATATATAATTTAGCTGTTCTATAATATAGTTAGTGGTTATATTAAATTTTACACAGGAAGCAAAATATCCAGACAATGTTATCTAGCTATTCAAGTTTGCCTTTTATTAGCTTTCAATAAGATTCATTTTCTTGTTGCAGGCAGGTGTCGGTGCTGCAGACCTCCATTCCTCTGCCAGCATCGGCGGCGGCTGTCCGGCGAGCCCCGCCAGACAAGCGACCGCTGCCAGCCACGCCTGTGCATGGTATGTGTTATCTTATCAACTACATCTTAGGTTCAAAAGGAGGTTTGGTCATATCTAGTTAAGTTGAAAGACTACTTGTATTTGTGATGCAGTGTTATGATAAATTCAGAATTTTGATAATAATGCCAGGTTTTTCATCTAAAACTGGAGGATGAGAAATTTATTTAATTAGGAAGGCATGTAAAAAAAACCCATCTGATTTTTTTTACATTTTTCATTTATTTACATTGGGTGCTCGATAAAATGTGAATATTTGACTAGTTTGGGTAAGTGGGTATTTATTTAGAAGATTTGTAGTAACAAATTACTTAAAACGAAAAACGGAGCTCTTATAGGATTTCTTTATTGTCCAAGAAAATCGTTTGTTTATTTGTATATCAGTCTGTCTTCAAAATTACTGAATCAATCGACTCATTTTTGTGCATATATGTAGATGCCCCAAAGGCGTAAAGAGTAATGTAGGCCACATAACTTTTGGAGAGGAAATTACGAATAGTCAATTTTCATATATATATTTTTTAATAACACTATTTCTATGAAATTAAACAAATTGATATTTTCATAATACAGTACTTATTTGATATCACATAATTTATTACAATACTTCTTTTATTTTTTTGGTCGACCCCCGAAAAATGCTGCCTTGTTTTAAATTATATATTTAAGTTCCCAATTCAATCCGTCCAGTATTTTTAAAGAAAATCAACTGTGACAGGAAGGCTGATAGACATGCAAGTAATCCTAAAGAGGTCTGTTTCCTTTTCTAGTAGCAATCATGATATTAGCAATCGAAGAAGTATAGATAAATATTAATCTCAATATAAAAATGTGACAACAATGCGCCACCAGAAACTGTAGTTGCAATGAAATTAATTAATCCAATTAATGGCATGAGAGCAACGATCCGCAGACCCCCAGTGAGAGCTTAACGTCTGGTTGTTATTTGTAATACTTAGTAAATGTGTTGCTATACTAAATTTCACATCTCCCAGTTTGTTTAGAGCAAATCGGCTTTAATATCCTAGGTGTACCGGAAGAATACCTACCATTATTAGAGACTAACACCCAGTTTCCGAATACCTCTCAAACAGTACTTAAACTTCACAAAAACAGATTTTTGTTTTTGATTTAGTTTTTTAATGATAAGTTGATAGTAGTTTCATCAAAGTAGGACTTTTTAACCTGTGAAACGTAAAGAGTAAGGTTATTGAGAATAACCAATTGAGATTTTGTACTTTTATCAATTGACAAACTACCTATTGAATAGGTTCTGAAACTACAAAATCAATCTTAAAAATTCTTTACAATCGGTTCAGTAATTTCTGACTGTTGTTGTAAGGTACTGTACGCATAGCATGATAAACTCGAGAACCACTTTGTCCATGTTACGCTTAAAGATCAATATTGCTCATTGAGCGAAAAAATATAGTTCACAACGCGTTGTGATCTCAACGTTTTGTGGCAATCAAGAAAAGCCAGCTTCTGTAGGGAGTCGCCATAGGTCGAGAGAACTTTAGTAAAAAACAATAAAGATTAAAAAGATTGATTTATTAAGTAGGAGAATTTTAAAAAGAGGATATACTCATAAATATATTTATATTAATACAAACAAATTAACAAAAAAATAAATTCTAAGACTCTTATTAATGCGAAGGTTGTGCTTGTTTTTGGTTTATCAATTTCTCCCATCGTGGATCTGTATTTGCTACACAAAGAATTAAATCGTTTTCCTGGTAATCATGAAATTATGTAGAATTGTAGACGCTTAGAAACTTCGTATGGAATGAATATTTGTAATACTGTAACCGTTACAGTGTAATGTACATACATATAAATACATTATAAAAAAGCGAAGGGTCGGGGGGTCGCGAAATATTTTTCATATCTGGGGGGGTCGGTCGTATCATGAAAAAGGTTGAAAAATACTGATCTAACTGTTTCATTTTACAATAGCGATTCGCAGCGGAACGCTCGCTTTGCTCGCTCGGCTCGTGCGTTGTTTGTCATACTCTCACCTAACCTATCAAATATGGTTCAATATGATTCATGATTTTTCTTCATTGCCATAACGCGTTGTAGTCGAATAGCCACGATACGGATTTTGCATATAGCAAAATCCGTATCGTGGCTATTCGACTACAACTACTGTGTTAATGCCACAACGCATCGTGTTCGTTTCAAAAAAAATTTCATAACGCGTTGTGAACAATTTTTCGCTCAATGAGAAATTTCGATCTTTGAACGTAACATATATACTGACATTTTTCTCGGGTCGAATAAGAGTGAGATATCGCATGGGCAACAATCAATATGGCAAGATTTTTGATCATTTGCATGGAATAGGCTGCATAACCACTTGACCGATTATAAAAATTATTTTACAGCTAGAAGCTACATTATATGCTTATGAAATAGGCTATAATGTACTTAGGTTAAGTCGCGTGAGTAACATAAATAACTTAAAAATTCGGTTATCAAAACCGTACATAATTTTTAATAAAAAACCTTTCAATCGACTGTAAATTTTCTAAGAATATTTAATGGAAATTATCAAAAATAACAAGTATTTTATAATTTGATTAATGGCTAACAAGTTTAAGAACTTCTTTTGAAGTAGGGTGTTAATTTATAGAAGTTCGTATAAGTTTCTTTGTTCTCAAGTTTAGTTTTTTTACACCTTTCAACAAACGCTATTCAACTTGTTTTTTTTTCTCAATTCCCAATTTCACTACTTTTCATAATTAGTCAAATTGTTTTATGCACACGTCCATGTTTAGAGGTATAACGGGTACTTACATATGTAATTACTAAGTACCACTAAGCGCATAGCTGGAAAGGAACTGAAAAAAATTACATAGGCAAATAGTAATAAAAACACTTTTTTCTCGTTTAAATAAGGGTTAAATCTGGCAGTAAAAGAAAAATGAAAATAATGATTCATTAAAAAATGTTGAAGTTTGAGTCAGCGTTCCACTTGAACAAGTGACTATTGATTTGAACAATATTTGTTGCCGACAAGTAATAATTAATGATACTAATTAAAATAGTATGCAAACACCGGTGTTCTCTAGACAATTGTATTGTAATTAGGTATCGCAGAACACAAATGTAAACAGAAGATTGTGCTGTTGTATTTTCTGTTTATAGTTATATTAAAGACAATTGCAATAAATTAAATAGGTATATGATTTTGCTTTATACGTACATAACGTACGTACTAAACGTACGTTATGTACGTATATATATATATATATATATATATATATATATATATTCCAAAGCAAAACCCGGTAAATTAGATTACCTATTCCAAAACACGGTCATACCTTATGAACACTTGATATTTAATGAATGAATGAATGGATTGTAACTATCGAAATATTCAAATCAAAGCTGTTACAATCACTTGAAATAATCGAGTCTATGCCATCAGTTCGTAAATCTACCGCGGGATTGTCTCTAGTAAATTTATTTTACCAAAATTCTTTAGACAGAGTGAAGACAAATGAAAAAGTTTAATTATTTATTTTTAATGATAAATGCTTAAAAGTCCACTTTGTTTCTGGTACTCTTATATGTGAAAAAATGTTAACTGATGATACACGCGAAAGAGAAAAATAAATTGATAATGATTATAGGTCAACTAAAATTATCACGTCTCAAAGTTTGCTGTCTGATACGTAGTTATTTCAAATGTCGATATCAATTTTTTTCTGCAGTTTTTTATATCTTACTCTTATCAAGTTCACACGTGACGTCGTGTTCGAAACGAATGGTTCATGCGATACATTTTTATTAAAAAATACATTTTCAGGGTTCTTTACACATTGTAAGGCAAAAGTTAAAAAAATAACAGTTCTTACCAGATCAATCGTACGTTTATCTGTTCCTTCCATCAGTCTTTTTGACAGCTGCATTAGGGTTGAGCTACGATTGTGCTGCCAAATACAACTCAACCCTTGCTCGACCGATTCCGTCTTATTATAGGTATAACAAGGACTAACTTTTGACTTTCTGTCATTGTTATTTTGCTTTAGACGGACAATGGTTCAAGCCTACTTTAGTCTTATTTTTACAATAAGACAGATCGAGTTTAAATTTCGTATATGAAGTCGCTGATCTAATCCTAAAACAGACGTGTAATTTAATTATTTAAACTTTGAGGGTAAAAATATATTTAAAAAAAACTCTTAGCAAACTATTGTACAAACGTCCAAGCTCTAATGAACGTTCTTAATTTGAAAAATTATAATGGACATTTGTGCTACTGATTCAGATTATTTTGTTTATTTTATTTTGTGATTTATGTCTCTGAGATTATAAATAAAAACAATCTCAAAACTGTTTCGAAAACCTAATGCCTGATGAATGTCAAGATGAGATGAAGTGTGCGTCCAATTCGGCTTTGCAGTTTGATTGAACGAAAATATCCATCACATAAAGTTTTTTTAATCATCCTGTTGCACAAACATTCATTATACTTGATGTTAGTTTAAAGCGTATTACCGATACAATTTTTTCAATTTTTAGCTTTCATTAAAGCTTAAAAGCGCCATTAAAACTTAAGAGACGATTGTGCAACTTGGTGAAGTATGTATACATAAATATTGTAAAAATTCATATTGAATATAAGATCATATAAAACATTTTTAAATTCAGATTAGATGAATCTTTCCTTATACAAAAGGATTGTTTTATTATCGTCATTGTTTTGTTCTTGCCTTATTATCATGCTTATTTCGCCTTATGTTATTATGTTATCGTTCTCGGCTCCATAGATGCAGTCAGTCGCATCACTACTGCGTTCAAAGCAGGACATTTGAACTCGTTGAGAGAGCATTATTGTTAACCCTTTATAAGTAGTGTAGTTAAAGTTGAAAAATACTGTGAATTAAATCGAAGTGTAAGGTCGATGTGTCAGAAGGTTATTATAGTGTTAATAAAACTTACCTACATTTGCTATGATAATTTGAAGCAATTAAAAGTTTTAAAGGTACGTATTTGATAATCGGGTATTTCTTCGGAAATTCAACTTATGTTTTGATACATCCGTCATTATTATTTTTCAAAAATAATGAATCCTGGATGATATTTTTTTAAATCTTTATAGAATCCAATATCGTGGCAGATTGATGCCACTGATTTTTTTTAAATATAAATCTAGTAAATTTTTTTTTAAAGAACAACAATGACGGTTGTATAAAAACGGAAGTTCAATTTCCGAAGAAATTATTAGTGACTGTGTCGCTCGCCGGTTTCAGAGTGTCACTATCTGAGAGATCTCGGGTTTGATTCCCGGTCGGGTGTTGTGGACCTTTGTTGTTTCGGTCTGAAACACCGTGCCGCCTTTTTTAATAATAAACGTGTAGGTTATCTATGTTGTTCGTTGACAATGATAAATGTAACTATATAATGTTGAAAGAGTTTTTAAAATCGGTGCAGTAGCTTTCAAATTTCTATTCTTAAATCCCCCCCCCCCCCCTATCCCTATCGAAGTTTTCATATAAATCACCAAGGTTTTTGAAATAAGTGATAATGAGGGATTCTAATGGCAAAGAATATATCAAATAGGTCCAGGAGTTTCGAAGCCCATTCGATGATTCGATGCAATAAATAAAATCTTTCCTCTTTTGGTAGATATCGGAAATGACGTCTCTTTCGTAATATTACTATAGATGGTTTTGTTTGTCTTGGGAAAAAGAAAACATCATGGACTTTTTAATATTTTGATATAATAAAAACTAATAAATTTCGTAAGCTATGCAAGTAGTATTTAACTTTTGGGAAATTATGAGTGACGTAATCCACGCTAGCTTTACTTTTAACCGACTTCAAAATCGAAAAATTAATAATTGAATGCGTTGTATATTTTAAATATGTTAACGGATTGTAGATCGATTTCCTATAGTCCCAAGTGGCCTCGAATCAGTAGTTTTCTTTTTATAACGAAACAATAAAGCCACTTATCAAATATCACCAAATTACATGACCTAAGTGACACGTTTATCAGCGAAAAAACAAAAGGTAGCGTATTACGCATTCATTCAAATTCGGAAACGATCTATTTATTAATATTTTTACACTATCTTTTCGCCAGAGGGTACGCCAGCGTGGTCCCTAGGATACTATTTATTGGGATAAAAAGTATCCTATTATCTAAGTCAGCTAATACCCTATCTGTATACCAAATTTCATCAAAATCCGTACAATAGTTTCGGCGAGATTGACGGACAAACATCCCAACAAAGAAACTTTCACATTTATAATATCAAATAGGATTTACCTATATGATGTAACTATTAGAATGAAGATAAAAATTTACTTATACCCGTGCGGGTCAGTCGATATTCTGGTTTAGTAAAAAAAACTTTCAGCAGACGACGTATCGTATAGATCAAAGATTCATAATGTTGATTGTACCATTTCCTTAGCAACATATAAGAACAAGCGTGTATCTATTTCTACAGCATGCAGCTAACAAGGAGGTGTTAACTGCTGCGGTTAAAGTGATGGATGATCGCAACATGTGGAACGGATGCGTTGATGATTGACATAGTTATATTCGCATCTTGTGAGCGCACTAGTATTGTTACATAGGGCACCTGGACAATGTTATGGCTAACGGAATGTCAACAATTATCTGTATTTGAATACAATCTGAATTCTATGTGTATATTATTTGAATAGAAAGTTGAACATTCATATTAATCTTCTTAAAATTTATGACGATTGTAGAGAGTCGTCCAATTCAGTCAGTTATCGTCTGAAAATTACAAATTTAATTAGTGTATATCCACTCTCTTTATATATATATCTCATGCTCATATCAAATTTAAAGTAAGAGCTTTTTGAGTATCGGATATTTTGTGATTAATCAGTAACTAGTATTTTACTTTTATTCGTAGGTCGTATTCGCAAAATTGCTTTAGTAGAACTTAAATAGCCTTGTATCCTGTCCAAGCAACAAACCGGATATTTTACTTAACATCGCCGTTCGATGTGTATCGACGAGGGTTTCGAGCGGACATTTGTTTACTTTCACCATAACAACATTAACAAAATTCATAACAAATCAAATGCACTGGAAAACGTGTCCTATTTACATTCGCTACTGACTCAGTGCTCCCTTATTTAGGGTTGTGCGCACGTGCATATATTAGCAGTATGACGTCACGGATTATTTTGTCGGGAGTGACATCGATCGATACTGTGAACCAGTATAATTGGATCTATTGCTCAGCTTTGAAATTGTTGATTGTTGATTCATCATGGTAATATGTTAGTAACAGAGGGAGTTCATTTTAATATGGTTTTGTTAGTTAATTCAAGGTCATAGCTTTGAAAAAGCTACAATGCTCAGTGCATTGAAAGCGCGGGCGCATGGCGGACCACCCGTGCGTGTTGTTCCAAGATAACTTCAGGTTATCTCCTTTATATTGACAAAAAACATCGTAAACGAGAGGCTGATAATTTTTTTTAATCACGGTACTATTGAAAATAATTTTAATAGAAAGTTTCTTGTTACCTATAATAGCTACAAAATCTGTGATATTTATTTTAAATATTTTATAGATTCCAAAGTGATATCGCTAAACCTTCAACGTGTCCTAGAAAATTCCTAGAAGGATAAGGACTTTTTAAAATCTATTGACAAAGTTTCTTTTCAAAACAGCATAACGAAAACAATACGAAAATTCTATATCCATAATTCCGTATGTCCAAAAAATCTTAGATCTCTTATTTCAGTTTCAAATTGTTTTAAGTCTGTTTTTTACCTGATTACCAGCTATTCACCTACTTTGTAAAGATGGTACTTTATGTTTATTTCAATATTTGTTTGATTTCTCAAAGTTTGAATAAGTTTTCTAAAAAATCTGGTGCAAATACAGTGGTACATTAATTAATTATATCCATCAAAAGAGCCAAACTTTAATTAATAGGAAATATGTGTTATTAACGAAATTACATATTCAATACGAATATTTTTCGTGTGACTTATTTGTAAAAATATATTACAGGTGGCAAAAGTGGATTGTCGGCTAGTTCCAGTCGATCTACTAGTCCCTTGGGACATGGAGTCGTGAGTTTCATACCTCGAGCGCCGACCTCTTCATCTGGGTAATGTTCTAATATTTATATAACAAAAAATTTGTTACTAAGTAAACTCGTATGGGAAAACACGATAAGCTTAAAGATCCCGCTACATTCTACCATTCACTTCATATAAAAAATTAAACATTCAATTTGATCTACTAGAAACCACTTCATATAAGGTTGTATTATATTTGCAGTAGAAACATGTAAGATGGTTTTATAAAAACGTGGAGTACCTTACCTTTGTTCTTTGTTATAGGTCACGGCCCAACTCCTCGCTTCTCGCTCCCAGTAGTAAGATCCCGTCCACCCTTCAAACGCAACAACAAACATCGAATAGTCAAAATGGAACACCATCGAAACATTCTATGCTAGATAAATTAAAACTTTTCAATAAAGATAAAGTAACTAATGAAAAGCAACACAGTAAAAGCACTGCTGTGTCCAAACGAACAAGTTCTTCAAGTGGCTTCTCTTCTGCTAAAAGTGAACGATCGGACTCTAGTTTGAGTCTCAATGAATCATCAAATATTCCGAATACACATATCAAATCATCAAATTTGTTAGGACCGAAGAACTTAAGGCAACAAAACGATAACTTGATAAAAGATAAATCCGGTAAGAATGTAAAATCGAAACTGGTTCATTCGAAAGCTCCTAAAGAATCTATTACGAATTTAAGTAAGTCTAATACTAAATCTAGTAATGAAAAGTCTAAAAATAGTCCAAAGCTGCCATCCCGTGATAAAGAATCGAAGTTGGCAGCGCCAAAGTCCATTAGTAATACTAAATTAAATCAAATAGATGATCAACCTAGAAATTCAAAATCAAAACCGGAGTCCAAAATGAGCAAGTTATCAGGCAGCCAAATAAAACTCAATGAACAAAAGTCTGATACTTCTGGAGAATCGAAAGGATATGAGTGCGGACATTCGAAAAACTTAACTTCTCAACCACAAACTCCATCAGGTGGGCAGACTTTTGGCCTGCCAAATCACACTGGTATTCCAAAACCGACAGCAGCAGTAAAAGGAACTTTTAAAATATCAAAAGAGGATAGACATATTATAAATAAAAGTACAAATAATCAATTAAGTCCTATACAAAGCAATTCTAGTTTAAATTCTACAAACAATGTAAGTGCACTTCCATTTAGTAGAGAACAATCTAGTTTAGGTAAAGATATATCTCAAAAGCAAACCCTAGCTGTTTCACCGATGCCTGTTGTTAGTTCAGCCAATCAAACTGGATCGCATATGTCTGAAAGTTCACATTCAAACTCTACTCATAGCACGACTGGACAGCATTCAAATTCAAGTGATGGCAGTGTAATCTACCGTCCATCTAGTGAGTCTGGTTCAGAAATGTCGAAGGTACCAAGCAATGTGACATCGAATAAAAGGCTAGATATGAATACAACATACATAAACAATGTTATTAATGAGGCCGAGATATCCGAGAAAGAAGCAGCAAAAAAACGACTTATGGAAAATTCTGCACAGAAACAACAACTTCAACATAATAAAACATTAACAGAAACCAATAGAAATCTTGAAAGTGGAAGTCGATCTAGTACTCCATCACATGGTCGAGACAATTCTCTTGGTGAAGACGATAATCCATTGATGAACGTAATGCCAATGAGGCCTTTACTACGGGGATACAATAGCCATTTGACATTACCGATGAGGACATCGGGTTTAACACAAAAAAATATTCCCGGCTATCCACATCACGCCAATACAGTCAAAGCCAATTTTGGCAGGGAAAACATAGGATTGAGGGAGCGAATGAACTACGGACCAGGATTTTCTAACCCAGATTACTGCGACCTTGATATTGCTTCGGGCTATATGTCTGATGGAGATTGCCTCCGGCGAATAAATGTAAATGACATGGACTGTGGTAGAAATAATGACTTGATGGATGGATATATGTCCGAGGGAGGTGCTTCATTGTATGGACGACGAATTAACTATCAACAGCCTTCGCAGTTCCAACAACTTGAAGAAAGGTAAGAATTAATTTTTTAAAACAATTATTAATAGATAATTTACTTATTTCATTTACTTTTGAAAGAAGCAGTAAAATGAAGTATGCAATAGAGCGGCAATAAAATTCAAATTAAAAGCTCCCTCAGGACGTGAGATTCATTGCTATAAAAGGGATTGCATTGCATCTACAAAGCTGCGCTCTGTTAGGGTTTTGTGGGCATTGGGCCCCAAACAGATTTTATTGTATTCCGAGTCCATTCAATTGTGAGGTCACGCTTCGTAACCTGAGCTTATCTCATACGCTTACTGATAAATAAAAACTTTGCTACATTAAGTACACACTGATACTTAAAACTGAATTACAAGAATATGTTATCGTATTTATATTCTAAGAAAATAGTACCCACGAAAATGTGAAACATTATATTTTTTATGAATTTTTATCATTTTACGAGTTTAATTTAATTTGGACTATGCTGATCCATCTATTGAGCTGGGGTACAATATTTGAAGTAAGAAAATCCATTTTCCGATAACGTTGGATAGATATGCCTTTCAATCCACAAGTGGTTGACCCGCCTTCCGTCGCTACCTAATATTGGATGTTTGACGCCTCTTTCTATCTCTTAGTATGTTCCCACTTTACTTGATTAGTTTTGTTTGAGACGTTTCAATGTATTTTTTCATTTATCTACAATCGATGCAATAAAGCAAATCTACCAAAAAAGCTTAAACAATTATTGTCCAATAGAATTATTGTTATTATTGCTCCATTGATGATTATTTTATTGAAAATGACTCAAGTAATCCCAATGATAATGTCTGAAAACATAGTTTAAAGATAAGCGTGACTCTATAATGAAATTGGTACTCACATACCGTCTCAACCAAAAAGCATGTATGAAATAATCTTAGCCTTCATCACAAACCAAACAAACGTTTTATACGCGTCATTTGGCAAGCGGGGGTAGAGTATTGGTGTGAACAATGCTTTTGTAAATAATCGACTCTGCCTCCAACAACGATCTCACTGAGGACTCCTACATAGTACGACGCACACACACCGTCGCAACGATAGGGGAGAGGGCGGAGTGGGCAAAATCGATACTCCTACGTCTCACGCCCTGCCCCGCACCTCTATCGCACGACCCTAACCACCCCTAACTGATCCGCACCATTAGGAACCTTAATGATAATAACGTAAAACTTATTTCAGATGCTAAATTCCTCTGCAGTTTCTACCAATATCGAATTACAAATATTTTCTTATTTTTTGAAATCTAATCGTATCAAATTCTGGTAAATAAAGGTGGTGCGGTTAATTAAAATTTATTCGAATCGGCTTATTGGCATCACTGCTCAGTGAATCTAATCGGATTGATTTGAGTGCAAATGGCATGGCAGTGTGAGGTTGTCCGGTGAAGCGCGTAGTATGTGGTGATGAATAAAGCGACGGTACGGCGGCCGGCGGCAGGGCGGGCGGCACTCGCCGGCGGGCACGATCGGCGTGCGGGCGCGCCGCTCTCGCCGCCGCGGTAACACACGCACGTGACAAACTTTCCCGATTTCCTCAACGGAAAATGTAAATCCGTTTGCCGGCATCGATCGTTTCAACGAGACGCGCGCTCGCCGAACCGTACTGCCGATCACAGCTGGCGCCATGTATCTGAAACGCTAACAAAGAACGGATACTATATCTGAGGACAATATTGGTGTTAGTAAAATAAATTAGTGTTTCTTTCAAGTGTAGTGGACCATACGCGTTGTGCCTTCTGTCGCATGTGCCGCGGGTGAAATTGTATGACAAACTTTAATTTGCCGTTTTATATACTAGTTTGATAATTTAGCGGGTATAAATGTAAGGATCGGTGTTGCCTTGCTACGTGTCTTTGCTTCGCGGTAGACATTGGTGTAAGCTTACGGTGCTTTATAGATAATAATAATCCTTGTTTCCTATACAAAGTTGTTATTTTGCTTTGAAGATGGATAGGATGTTATTGGTAAGATATTTTTATAATTATTTCAATTCAATTATAAGCTCTTTAAGTCAGTATTTTTGTATATCTTATATGAATTATTAAATTCGTTAACATCTGGATGTTTGCGGAGTGAACATATTGCTGCTTTGTCACATGTGGTCACCATTCGCGCCTTCGTTTATAGCCTAACATAGACTTGAATGTAATATAAAAATTTCAAGTGTAATTTGTGTGAAATACCCGTCCAATACGGCCGATAAGTAGACGGTTAGTGACCCGAAGCGATTGATCCGTGTAAGGTTATTACTTCGGCATCTACAGGGTTCTGTGCAAGGGTAGGTACCCTCTCGTTCCAAATCGTGAGCCTCGATTTCGTTTAGATGATCCTATAAAAAGTTTATTAACTTTCTTGTACAAACCTTTTTAGAGCAAGGTAGGTATTCAAGTTTTCAAAAAGAACCATTTTAGATCCTTCAGTTTTGTCTCTCGTTTTTGCATGTAAGTAATAATCTGTATCAATACAACAAGCTTTGTTCCCTATTGAAGATAGACCCAATCGACCGAAGATTATTAGATGTTTACATTAACCTAGATGTATTTAGAGTATTCCATTGAACTAATATGGATATTAAATCATTTACATAGCAGGCACTTAGTACTTACGCCTAGTTTGCGATACGTGAAGTCAAAGGAATGTTGAGCATCAATGAATCATTCTGATAAACATAACACCTACTTACATATTTGGTTCGACCCTCGCCGAGTTCCATGTGTCATTTAAAATCAAATGGCTAATAAAGTAGAATAAAAATTTATAAGATGTATTATATTCATAGTTCTGACCTGCAATAATAAAAACCGGTAATGTGCGAGTCGTACTATATTCCCCTGTATAGGTACAATAAAGACATTGAATGTGTATATAAAATGGATTTTTTTTCCATTTAATATACTAAAATGGAAAAAAAAACTTAGTTTGTTCGTGGGTATGGGAGCCTCTTAAATATTTATTTTATTCTGTTTTTAGTATTTGTTGTTATAGCGCAACAACAATACCTACATAATGTTTGAAAATTTCAACTGTCTAGTGGTTATTTCAACCATTACAGTTCATGGGATACACCTGGTGGCAGACAGGAGGACACACAGTCGAACAGCAGAGTCTTAGTAATATAATCCCGTTTTTACCCTTTCAGTACGGAATCCTACAAATAATCAAACAAAATTTGTTGTGAATACGGATGAGAGTTCTTCCATACTTCATAAATATACCATAATCTCAGAACTTGATGCAGCTTTCAGCTTTACGAAGAAACTATGGATGAAAAGATGGTCCTTTATTGACAAAGATATCGTTGAACATTCATAAAAAACCATTCAGTCGAATTGAAGATCACCTCCTTTTGAGAAGTATGTTTTAAAAGAACCCTGATATATAACGATGACAGCTTCCTGTTTCTGTAAATTATAGCAATAATCAAAGCGAGCAACTTCAAGGGGGCAGTAACTGTAAATGAGAGCCAAAGCTAGAGGGAAACTTTTTAAAATACGAGCCATTTTACAAACGGGGGTCTCATTCCAAAAGTTTGCTTTTCCGCGAATATTGCTTACGAAAATATTTGTACTAGTACCAAGGACTCTGTCACATGTAAGGATGGTAATTTTGTTGAATGAAAATAATTTTTTTAATAATCCATACAAAAAAGGAAAAATGGAATCCTTATTAAACTCGTCTGTCTGTTTGTCTATCCGTCTGTTACTGTCGATATTCTCCGAATATACTGGATCTATTGAATCGAGTTTTGGTACATAAGAAATAGGTAACCGAAAGATAAAGATGACATTATGTTAGTAAATCAATTTAAGCATAGCGGTCTCTTTTAGATAAATTAGAAATTTGGAAAAACAATATACATATTTATATCGGTACTTGTATGACGTATCAATTGAAAATGATTACTGCAACAGTTTAAAATATGTTTTTTAATAATTTTGTTCTACATTTATTTTTTTTATAGAAAACTATTCGCAAATAAACAAGTCGAATGTAAGAGTCGCGCATTGAAACTCCTCTCGGATCTGTAATTGAAATCAGATCCTTTTTCCTTTTTATTTTTAAAATTTGATATTGTAGGCGTACCGTCTTATTATTGACGTCTGATTTAACTATCAACAACTCTCTTAATAAAAAAAGGGACGCCTTTTTAATGAAAATATAAAGATTTTTTTAAATAACATAATATCATTATTCTTACCACCCATGACAAAAGGTTAGGGCTTTGGTTTGGCTTGGTTGTATTGTATATGTTTTACACCAGTCTATTTGCATAACTCTTCTTTGGTTTAATTAATTTACAATATAAAGACTCTTTTTGTACCTACTTAAGATCATTTTGCTACAAAATCTCCTCAATAATTAAATAATAATAAACAATAACTTTGGAAAGCATAAAAAAAATGATTCAAAAATACCAGCTCGTAGGTATTCTTGTATTTGCCATTTCTACAAAATAATGACGCCACGAAAGGAAGAATAACGAGGGGCTGCTCAGTTCGCAGATAATGAGATGGTAGGAGTCTTTCCTTTCAACGAATCCGTCATCATTAACGAGAGGCTTCGGGCTGGAGTTTTCATTAAGACGCCAATGTTTCAAATGACAAAACAACCAGACAGGAACGGGCGAGATTAACGCATCCACCGGTTACGGTTCACGTATAAATCCTAAGCATTACTGAGCTTTAGTAACATACCCCAAGACGTGCGAGGGTTCCCTTTCTTCTATCTTCATATATACATCTAATATAATTGATACCTACGTGCAAAAGAGTAGGGGCGCCTCGATAAAACTCTAGTAGATTTATATGTTTAATGCAAAGTTGTGCACTTACGTTCTAATACGTTAAGGCAAGTTTAGTCACAAATATTTATGGTTACGTAAACAGTAAGTTCTAAACTAACTCGTAAAGCAAAAGTGTGACAGATATCAACAAATAATTGTCGCTACCGGTGCGTTTCAAAAAGAGCTTTGGTACCAGTATCATAATGCTCAACCCAAATACCAGCTACGTTTATTCCGGCATAGGCCCGGCTCTTCTTTTCATCCGGTCACATAATTGTTCCAATAAAAGGAATGTTGACAAATTGCTGCATCTCGTCGAGTCCCGATAAAGTAGGGCACTGCGGTGTTTGCCGCAAAGGCTAGGCTGCGAATGTAATCTGCAACTGTTTACTTTGCCTGCCTCTTAAAAGAGGTACGATTCCAAAGCCGCCATTCCTTCTTTGAAATTCAAAAGTACAAGATCTCTAGAGTAGACTCGTTAAGGTTTTTGCCGTACTTTTAAAAAATCTAGAGGTAAAATTTACGCAATGATCGGTACCCGCCTTAAAGATTGTTAACGGCTTACAAGAAGCTATTAAGTTACAAATTCAACTGTACCTACTGTCTTTTTAAACCTTTATCTTTTTAATGAAACTATTTATGGATAGACTATCTAAATTAATTTCTTGTAATACTTTGTAGGTTCAGTTCATGACTATTATATAATTAGAAATTAGAACCCTCTGTGATGTTCTAACGCGCTTAAAAATGCTAATTAATCATGAACATGATAATTCTCTATTGAATCTTAACGTACTAAGTGTGCTATTTTTAAAACTGAACTTCTTTGAGCGTGAACTGGCAAAGTAATGAGTGATTATCGTTCATGAATGCACCCATTCTCTCGCAGTGTCTACTTATTAAATTTATAACAGCGGCCATCTTGATATAATTATGAGCACGTTCCCAAAACATTATTTGTTTGTATACTTCTAGGCATCAATAAATTACATTAGGTATATATTTGTTGATAAACAGTAGACCAATCAATCAGTAAACCAATCTCCTATTTTTGATATAACTTTATAGCATAAATGACCTCTGTATATATTTTTTTTATATCTTTAGAGAAAGACAAAAAAAAAATAACTACATTTAAGAGGTATCTTTTTTCTATAGTACACCAATAGACAAAAGAACAACGAATTTCTATAAATTTAACATTATCATTCACCCGCGTAGATAATATAATTTTCGAGCAAGTTGTATTTCTTTATTTTATTTATTCTTAGCAAACTTCTATCGTCAATAATTTCTTAATGTCTTTATTATATTTCAGCTGAGTTTGAATTAGACAGATATGAGTTAATACATTTATTCATCTCTATTTGCCTTTATATTAAATAATAAATAGGTAACTTCGAGTTCAATTAGTGTACTACATTATTAGGTAATTATTATATCTTAATTATTCATTCTTTTATACAATTAACAGTAATACCTTCTTAACTGGAACTCGTTACACAATTTCCTCGCTTCCTACGCACAAACTCTGGCCTGTCTGAAGTATCTCAGTAATTGGGGCGGCGGGATTTCCTACATCATCTGTACAAAGCAATCGGATGTATCGGAATATATGTATATTAATTTTCGACCTACAAATATTTCAATAGTGTTCGTAGTTTGGAACTATTAATATATTCTGCAAAATAAGTATCATCGAAATAGATAACCTTTTACATCTTTGTAAATACATTATTATATGCGGTTCATAGAGGATATACCGAAAAATTCAAGATTAAAAAACTCAAAAAGGTTTTGTTGATGACTTAGCAAATTAACTGACGCAAAGAATTATAAGTAAACTCATATATAAATATTAAATTACATACCAAAATTTATGTCAGAAACATTTCAGGAACATGCAAACTTCGTATGAGGTTAAGCATACATAAGGTCTACACATCAACGAAAAGAGCAAAACTTGTTGTAAATAGGATTTAAGAATAAGTGCTTTGTTTTTCAACTTAATCATTAGAAGTATCACCAAGTTTACTTACAATCTTACCTCAAAGGAGTTGGCGCAGTTGTTTTTGTACCTGTCGTAAAGGATGATCTTCACATCAATGAAAAAAAAATTATTAGAAAATTTTTTCTATTTAAGTTTCTTTCGAAAAGGATGATAACTCGAGACCATTGTCGTAGGCTACACTGTGCCTGAACAATAGGAACATTAAAAATGCTAATGGTAATAATAACTTTGGTAGGTAGAGTAGTGTAGTGCTACTACACTTCATAAGGTGATTGCATAAAGATCTTAATGTTTGTACCGGAAGCTACACTAAAGGCAGCAACAAATTTACTGTTAAGTTACCCAATGTTTCGTTGACAAAGGCTGTTTTCGACTGTTCATTTATTATTGTATTATCCGTGCTTTGAAAATTGTATTCAATATAGATGTCAGTTGTCCTAGAAATAATTATAAAAAATACGAGTACCAACCAATATAAACAATGATTTAGTGGTTTTATGAATTGAAAAACTTACGTTTTAGAATGAAATGGACTAAATAATTGTTATTAGGTATTTAGTCCATTTCATTCTTTCAATATTGTTTTTTAAATGGTTGGTTAACTAAACGAATCATGTAAAATTTGTTTGTATTATGGACATTTTCAAAGCAATACTTATTTCTCAGACGTGGCGGTGGCCGCAATAGAGGCATGGAGGGCGGTAGCGGTGTAGTGTACCGAGTGGTGGGACGCACGCGCAGTAAGGCCGACTGTGGGCAGCAGACTGACAGACAACCACCACAACAAGATACCACGTGGAAGAAATACACCGACTCGCCTGGGGTGGGGACTCCGCCTTTGGTAGACATTTTTGTAGTTAATTATATGTTCGAATCTCAAACTAAAGTGGGTAATTTCCTGCTCTCTGAGAATTCTCTTAGAAATAGATTCTTTTGTACTTTCATTTCATCATCAGCCCTTTTACGTCCCCACTGCAGGGGCTCAGGCCTTCCTTATGGATGGTTAAGGAGGATGGGCCATAACCCTCCACGCTGGCCCAATGCGGATTGGAGGGTATTAACGACTGCAAATGCAGCCGGGACCAACGGCTTAACGTGCCTTCCGAAGCACGGAGTAGCTCGAGATAATAACTTTTTGGTCACCCATCCCGTGACCGACCCTTGCGAAAGTTGCTTAACGACAACGATCGCGGGCCGCGGCGCTTATCCACTACGCCACCGAGCTACTCTTTCATTTGCCACTTGGATTTTTATAGAAAGCAATAATTTAGACTTACGAAGATATAGTTTACGATAATTTGCAATTCTTTCAGAATGCACCCACGCAAGCACCACCAAGTCCGTCACATGGACGGAAAGGAGAAAGACGTACGGGTCATCATTCTCCGCAACATCACAAACGAGAGAAATTGACTGCTGCACAGCAGCTTGGAATTGCACCACATCCTCAAGTAAATATAAAGCATTACCTAACTTTTGCTATAAATAAATATTTTATCAATTTCTATATAATATTAGCGAATATGATACTAAAAGTGCAACAAATCCTACTCGAAAATTTTAACTCAAAATCAACGAACACATTCAACGATTGCCTAGCACTGTGGACTGGGTGATTTTGAGTCTTAGTAATTCCCCGAGTAATGATACTGCTTTTTGCTTAATACTTCTACATACTGATGTAGGTATAAACTGTTTCTCTGTATAGAATCTTGCACATTTTTGTCATGAGCTATCCATTTTTAACAACGAATCTCTTCCAAGTCGAAAAGTAATAAAAACTTTTTTGTTGCTAGTATCCAGCCACTAATTCTGGTAATCAACACTCTTCAAGAAGTGGTGGTTCACAAGTAAGTTGAGTTGTTGAAACCCAGTTTTCATTTGATTAATATTATATTTCTGTTTTAAGGAAACAAAATAATATTCTTATATATCATTGCAGTTGCAGTCTCCTAGTGGTGCATCTTCGCGGCCATCTAGCGTCTCAAGTGGTGGAAACGGAAGCAGTTGTTCTAGTAAAGCCAAAGTTCCACAAAACTTTGGCTATGTGAAGCGACAAAACGGTGTGCAACAACCATCGGTTCAAGTTAACACCAATGGCCCCCCGCCACACGGACATAGTAAGTTGTAATAAAAAAATGTCTATCTTAGGGAATTAATGTAGATATACAAAATCTATTGTTTCAATAGAAGACAGAAGAAAAAATTATTAAATATTATCAATTTTGAATTCAAAATATTGTACTGAAAAATATGTTTCATGAAAAAATGCTAAGAAAATTCACTTTGTCCCTGGCACTCTGAGAAGAGACTCGACCAGGTCCCTTTGCCCTAATTAAAAATAAAAAATATTGTCATATTATGACTTTTTTAAGGATGCGACATCACACTTAAAATATCGATATATTAACAAAAATCCCTTATAATCATGATTAATGGAAATTTGACAAAACCAAAACTATAATTCAATGAAAGGTATCGATGCATCTTATATATATGGGTCAAAGTAGCATTTTGGTTAATTTGACGTTTTGGTGGCAAATGTTTGGCTTTGGTATAATAGTTAACAAATTATAACTGTAGTTTCCGTAAAAAAATATACATGAGGTCTAGTGTTGCCAGACGTCTCGTGTTTCATGCACAAATTCAAAAGTCTCGTATATCAAAGCAATTTCAGAAATGTTGTTAAAGTAGGGTTATGAACGAAACGTTAGATCACTTATGTTTATTTGTGGTTTTAGGTGGTAGAACTGCTCAGGTCTCTGCGGTACCCCGAACTAAAGTCAAAGTTTCGGGTGGCACGCAAACTTGCACTCAAGATCTTCAAATTCACAGTAAGTTTTAAAACTTTGTTGTTTTGCAATATTACATTATTAAGCTCTTCTGTAATAAACAATCTACTAATTATACTTACACAAATGGGAAACCTTTGATACAGTCTCTATTTTTAAGTATGTGTGCCATACTTTTTATTTATCCATATGTTTATAATATGAAGTAACATTAAATTACAAAATAATAAACCATACTTGTGCAGGTTAAAAACATAGGGGCATTCCATAATATATATTTGTGATTTACAGAAAATGGAATTGGACCAAAGTCATATTCATTGGGGGGCACAGCTGCAGCTCAGTTATCAGCATCAGTGCGTGAAAGACTTCTCGGATCCCAATCACTTCCAAAACCTGGAACACATGAGTTTGCCGCATTGTTCCATCACCATAGGTTTGTAGAAATAATCCCATCTTTCCTCTTTACAATATTACCTACTATAGAACTCCTAAATTATTGACATAAATATCCATTTAGTTAAATCATCATGATATAAGCAGAGCAATTCCATAAAAAAATCGGAACCTGTGAAAAATCGGAAATGAATTCTCACATCTAAAGAAAATATTAATCACTTGCGCAACTTCCTGCCTACTTGAACCAAGGTCTCCAGTATCAATTACGTGGATGTTTGCTATACGGATTTGTCGGAAGAGCTTCTTAACAAATTGGAGTGTCTACAGAATGTTTGCATCAGATTCATTTTCAATCTCTGTAAATTTGACCATGTGTCGTATTTCCGTTCTGAACTCAACTGGCTCCCAATTCGCCGGCGCAGGGACTTACACACTCTAAAGCTCCTCTACTCTATTCTTTTCCTTCCCTTCTACCTTGCGATCCTCCTTTAATCTCACCTCGGACATTCCTCGTCATTCTACCGACTTTTTCCTACTCCTTCGCTGTGTATTCTGTGCGGTTATGGAACTCATTTCCGGAGGATATCAGGAAATCTTGCTCACTAAGTTCTTTTGGTGATAGAGTTAAAAGCCATTTCCTTTCCTTATCTTAATTCTATCTCCTTGTATATAGTTGTTATTATGACTTATCTTGTATCCTTGCGATTGTTGCACTCAATACCCCATATAATCTTTATCCTTTTTATATTTTGTCCTCCATAGGTTACCTGGAAGAAATTGCTGCTTAGCAATAAGGCCGGCTTTTGTATACTTTATTTTTTATTCTGTGTAACTTGTTTTGGTTCTGTTAGGTGCAATAAAGTATATCATTGTTATTATTATAATGTAGAAATTCTGTTGGTCCATTTTTTGTATAAAAATACAAACGAGATTGATTTATACATCTCTCAGATATTCTCTCCCTATGTCATTCTGAAACTCACTTGATTAATGTTAATACCAATTCAAGGTTAAGCAAATGTCCCTTTGCGGACATGATGTTGGACATCTAAGTAAATCCAAATCCGAGTTCAAATTTTTATGGAACCACTCAGCTATTTATACATAGAGATTTGTAATTTATATTTTTTGATAGGATTTTAAGTATTTTTTAACTTGTGACAATAAAAATTCAGGGAATACACATTAAAATCTATGTGTAAGTAGTTAAATATCAGCTAAGCAAATACTTATGTATACAATTGTCTTAAAAAACATAATTTGAGAATGATAACATTAATTTTCATGACTAGCTAAACAGCACAATTAATCTAAATTATTCAGGGAGGGAATGGGAATTGAAAGAAAATATTTTTGATCAATGACTTTAATACTATTAATTATAATATATAGGTTGTGGAAAAAACTTAATATTATGACTTATGTGCTACCTGATAATTAACATAACAGTTTTATAACACTTCCTATGCATTTCATTAATGAAAATTTGTGTTCCACTTGTGGGGATATTAATAGTTTGGTCATGATTTTATATTGTTATTTCCTAAGCAAATCAGAATTACATATTGTCACATTTAAATAAAATCAGAGTTTTTGCCTGAAGATAGTATACAAATAAAGATTATTTTTGGTAGAAGTATTTAGTACAAAGACACAATATATTGCTAGATAAAATTCCCAAAATCAGCTTATATGAGACAAGAACCTGTTTTTCTTATTTAGTGAAATGTGTGAAATAAAGATTAGATATTTTTACTGAAGGATGATATTAATTATTAATAGTTATAATAAATACTGCTTTATTAGCATTTCATTTGAACTTCTCAAAAGTACTTAAAGATTTAAGTACTTTTGAATTATAGGAAGTATTTGTACCGAATACGCCCCTGTCTTAGAAGATAGTTATCAATTAATAAATAGAGCTCATTGTAAATAAGCATTTGGTGTTGTGCAGACGCATTTCAATGAATGACTCATACGTGTATTGTGTTTGTCTTGTGACTGTTATATGTTATTATTAGTTAAGAAAATGTATCAAAGGTTTAGGTACGGTAATTATTTAAATTGCACAAATACAGTTCATAGAAATATTTTTTTCTTATATTTGTTAATAATATATATATTATTTTAATAAATTGCTTCAGTAATTGTAACTATTGTAGTATCAGAAAGGCTGCCATCCGACAGATATAATATTAAATCTATTTACCTACAAGTTCCTGCTCTTAAGCTTATGTAAATAAAAATGTTATCTTTGTAAATATTTCTTTGATAACACAATCACCATGGGAAAATCTTAATCAGTTTTGCTATGAACGTCATACTTCATAGACATTTTCTAGCATTGTAAATGTTGTATTTTCAATTGTAATTAAAAAGTAATCCAAATGGTTTCTAGGTGATGAAACTTTTCAGTGATAGGTTGCTTTAAATTTTTTAATGGAGCTTAATACTTTTGTTTTTCATTTCAGAATCACTCAAAGAGGTGGTATCAAAATTAGCGATGGCAGCCTTTCTGATACTCAAACATACTCAGAAGTGAAATCAGATTATGGTATACCCTACGCTCCTTGGCTGAGACACAGGTATGTAAAATTAAACACTTAATCATAATTTGGCGCCTGGATTTTGGAGTTATTACTCTAATCAAACTAGTGAACAAAAGTTTCGTAGTTATAAATGGTCTTTATTAACTATAGAGTAAAAAAGATGTTCGAAACTTTTGTTTCTAGTATAAAAGAAGTTCGATGGAGCATTCCTAATATGTTTTATTAAGAAAACTCTTGAATACTCCATTCTGTGTTGTACAGTGACTGTTATCATCACATTCATAATCATTTGTCCCTGTCACATTTATATCCTTACTGTGCTTTTGTGTGTTTACATGAATACTGTTAACCTGTTATGAAACGGAATCGTCGTAATCTCTGCTTTGCTATCCTATTTCCGAAGTGGCCAGTTGTAGTATTATAGAACATGTAAATAATCTTCCCCTCTATTCTAGATAAAAAGTCATAGATTAAAGTGCAAAAAGTTGATGTAAGACTGATTTCATTTAAGACTATTAATCTAGTAATTATAGACTAGAATTAAATGGTCTTTCAATTAAGGCTGATTAACGCCCATCCTGTCAGAGTAATTTTAAAATCAACTACATAACTCATACAATCAATCTTTAGATTGTGCTAAGGATGCTCACTATTATGTGTATTACATATCGGATTTCGTAAAAAACATTGACCTATTCAAAACAGCGTAATTAAACTACAACTTCGAATAAAACTTTTTACATTAAATATATTTTTTACATTTAACTTCTGTATTCCTTTCCTATTAAAAAAAAGTTTTACTCTTGTGATGAATGAGAGGCTAGAAAGGTTATAAAAAGAGATGTAGGTATTTAATATTGAGGTTCGATATATCTTTTCACTATCCCTTTGCTTGTATTGATGTCACTGTCATGAAAATAAAAAAAACATTCTAAACAGTTTTTGTTACATATTTTAGACATCTTTGCGACTACGATATAGTGTTCGAATGAGCGAGATTAATAGCGCTTCATTCAGACATTTATTGAAATCTACAACTGGCCAGCATGCAATATCACTTTTCCCTTTCCAGCAACACATATTCGGCGAGCGGGCGACTATCTGAAGGCGAATCGATGGAATCTCTCACTTCGCTGCATTCGGCGCAGCACAACCACACCTCCCCTAACTCACACCGCAGCTCACTCACTCACAATAAGCTCATCATGCACCGGGAACAGGGCTCCAGGCTTAACAGGAGCAACAGTATTAGGTAGGTTCAGTATTGAGAGGCGGCTTGCGATATTCCATTCATCACAAAAATGTTTCTTACGGTGGTGGCTTTAAAGTTCGTTTTAGTAATTTCATGTGTCGAGGATCTTGGCTGCTAAATTATTGAATTAATCAATTTGACTGATAATGTTTGAATTAAAACAGGGAAAACTGTGAATGTAGATCCTGGGTGCCTAGTTGTTTCAAATTGGCCGCCAAAGACTATTACAAAATGACGTCATAGTCACATATACTAGTGACGTTAATGAATGTATTATAGGATAGAATCTTAAGTGTTGTTGATAAAAGGCATCAGTTTGCTAATAGCGCCATGTGTGAATTCATGGCGTAACCAATGAAAAATTCAGAGCGTCATTCTCGAAAACATGTTATGTTAGAAGATTTTTGTTAAAATAATAATTTGTTTGTTTTGACGTAACTGAATAAAATTAAATATTTGGTTGCCCGACGGCACTGAGGCAAGAGAGACAAAATATCTCTGTAATCATTATTATTTTAAAGATTTTATATTATATTTAGCAAGATCGTTATAGTACAGTGGTTATAATATATGTTTTTGTTATAAACTTCAATAAAAATATTACACATTTGTTGTATACAGATTCATATGATACCAATTTTATTATTACGCGAAATACATAAAATATACTTGAAATAGGCACACTACACAAATATTTCAGCTGGTGCTTAGTCAAACACTCTCATTCTTATCATCGATCATTCTATTCTTTCATGTCACCTAAATGTTAAATCATTACTATTACATTAAGTGGTCGTTGCATATATGATAAAAATGTTACTAACAAACTAAGTTATGGAACAAAGTCAATGAACACTTGATTGCATTTCTAGCTACCTCAGAGATAGGACATTCCCAAGGTACGCCACACACGGTTGAAGTTTCTACTTGATTTAGCTTCCAGGTGGCACGCTTCACTAAAATGTTGTTATTTACATTGCATGATTTGAACATGGCACGGCTTCCACTTATTTATATACACGTCATTATTGTTATACCTATGTTTATAAGAACTTGTTCAGACCAATGCGATAATTAGACGCGTTTTGTTATACATTACTCTTTGGTAAATAATAGTGTTACAAATAGAAAAAGTTTGCAACACTGTATTTGCAATCGCGTCTTAATTCGCGGTAAATTACATCTTTCTGGACAAGGCTTAGGTGTTTTTAGTTCTTTATTTATTAGCAGTTAATTATGAAGTTACATTCAAATTTCACTTTTCTGTTACGAACACATACGCTCAATCAGATACATCTGAATTTGAAATTTTTACTTTATTAAATCTCATAATTTTCCTTATTTTTAGATAAATTATCATCATATTGCTACAAATACATTTGCCATTAAAAAATCAAGCTTTTGTATTTATCGCTATATCACTGTGCCATGTTGTAATTGTATGCTAAGCAATGTCTTTTTAAACATCAAACTTTGTCTAGAGTTTTATTTTCACTTCCATTAGGTTTACTATCGATTGCCTGTTGGCTTTATGTAATGTCGATGATGCCTGAATAAAAAAGAAAATTTATTAAGTCCGTCAGTCAGATAAAAGTAAAATATTAGATACAATTTACCAAGAAAAGACTTAGATAATAGGCATTAAAGTTGAGGAGTGTACTTACGTACTACGCTACAACTGTGTAGAAAATGTACAAATGTGTGACGAAATGATGTGAAAAAATAAATGTTTACAAACGAAAAATAATCATCACTCCTATTTTTCGATAAAACAATTTTACTAATTGATTTTTAAGCATTTTTCATTAAGAATATGATTTCTTATATTTTCACGCGCAATATCCATAAATGAAACAACTTGAAACGGTTTGATCGCGTTTGTATTTAACTTTATTGACGTTTCGGTTCCGTGTTCGCATAAGACCAAGGTGTTGATTACCTTTTTAATTAAGAGTACAGCTAGCTTCAAAACAATACTATTGGACACGTTCACAATACATTTTTTTTTAATATTATATGGAAATGTTTACATTTATTAAATTATTTTAAAAATACATTTGATTTATTTATTTCCCCTAGCTACCGTAATCTACCAGTTCCAAATTTGGGAGTCCTGCCTGAGAAGAACTGGCGAAACAACCTCCCGACAAGAAAAGTGAATTGCTCCCTTTTTATTGAATATTTACAGAATAACTGTATCTTTCGGTTTTACAATGTGCGACATTGTAAAGGATCCGACACGTCAATAAAACTTAATACAAACGCAATGAAACCGTTCAAAAATTGTTTCATTAACAATATTCACTAAGTTATTTATATCCCGACTATATAGAGAAAATATTTAATAATGATATCCAGGGATCTACTTGTATGAGACTAGAAAACCAATAGCCATAATAATCGGCAATTTGTTTAAGACGCTATTTTCTATGATAATTATAATTAGTTTTCCTTGACAAAGTTTGATGTTCCAATTAAATCTGAATGACATGTGTTCTTAAAACTAGTATATTTCCAGATCAACAAAATCTGAGAAACTGTATCCTTCAATGCTGCAGCGGTCATCGGAGAGCGATTATGAGCCTTATTATTGCTTACCAGTGCAGTATGGGCCTGGCGGTCAAGGTACGCACTGTATTATGTATATTATATTGGACATTATAATAAAAGAGGTCCAGTGATGGTGCAAATGTTTTTTTTTATTACTAGAGCGTGTATAATAATATCAATTTTTCACTTTGCTATAATCCCCACTAATTAATTGCTAATGCACTTGGCCGCCATTTATATTACGTAACTGCGTCCAAAAATACGTAGGTACCTTTAACAAATAAACATTGGTTGACGAGTATACTTATTGAGTTAGTTTGGTTGAGATCGCACATCATTTTTGTTATATTTTTGTTGGTTTCGATGGTTATTGTTAAGTTTTGTTGTTCTCGTTATGGTTGACTAAAATATCAACTGCTATTATATTTTCGCAATAAGTATACATAATTTCACTAATAATAATTATATGTAATATCGCTCACTTTATTATTACCTTTGGTTATTATTTTATATATGTCGTTTCCGTTTGTTATCGCGTTATTACAAGGGAAATGTTATATATATATATTTATTTTCCATATACCACATTTATATATATATATAAATTAATTAATATTATACATGTTTATACATAAATTAATTATTTTCCAAAAATTCACGCAATAAATTAACAAACTAAAATTTATCAAATTATTTAAATAATATTTTGGGGACTATTCATAAATATTACAATAATAAATTAATAATTTATCACTTTCCTTTTGTGCTATCTATACATTTTATTTTTATATGACGTCATGCGGGTGTTATTAGACAAGGTTCCAGCGCATTAGCAATTTACGGGACTTATACCTATATTGTAATAGAGAACAAATCAGTTTTATTTACCTTTACTTTCCCTGTATTGTAGGTGATAAGTCAAATTTTTTAATTTCACATTATTAGGGGTATAGAAGAATGAAACAATGACTTATTCTGTTAAAGTAAACGACTTTTTGTAAATAAATGGTTAAGTGTATTGATATTTATTTAAATTAATTACTGGAATCTGCCTTATTTACTAAATATTATTCAAAATAAAATTATTTCGCGGCTTTTGTCGAAGAAATGTTTTGTTTTCAATCGTGTATTTGTAGGTTTAAACTACGGAGTTTCGGAGCCACCGTCACCATCCCCGAGATCGGCACTGAGTCCTACTCATCAACCAGGAAACGTGATCCATACACCTCGACACTCTCATCACTATCCTAAGAAGAATGATGATGGTAAGCATACAAGATTTATTAATAACAATGTCACTCTATACTAGTATTATAAAGAGAAAAGATGTGATTTTTTGTTTGCATCGAATATGCCCCTAAACGACTGGTCCGATTTTTTATTTTCTTTTCACCTACGGGTAGTTACATCATAATGCGGGGAACGTAGGCTATATTTTATCCCAAAAAGGGATCCCGAAGTAAAAAGGATGAAAATAGGAGTTGAAATTTGTGTAAGGAATTAAATATTTACCATAGCAATCATTTTTATTATTCAATTTTTCATTGTAATTATATCTGTGTCATGATATGAATCGATATCTAAATAAACAGTTCACCTCTGAATTTTTTACTATGAATAAGATAGGTATCCAAAGGAGATTGACCTTTTTTGTTTGGACTAATTCTAGACTGAGTTTCAGAGAGCTTCTAGAATTAAAAGAAAATAACAAAATAAAACACTAAAATATAAAAAGATATGGTTTTGCTATAATTATATTAGTTTAACTAGTTGTCACTTATTTATCTTTATAAAAAATATTCTTTTATTACAATGGTAATATGGTTTTATTTTGTTCGAACAGTTCATGGTTCTACTGCGTCATTAGTTTCCACTGCTTCGTCATTGGCCGCTGGTGCAGGTTCAGAAGAGAGGCAAGCGCATGAGGTAAGTTTATTCAATATTTCTTGTCCATTTACTGATTCACGTCATTAATTGCTCAAAACCATTGTAGTTTAGTAACATTTTGTATATAATTTAAAATAATATTTGTTCTTAAAAACCACAATAGATGTCATTTATAACACCACAATAGATTAAATTTTTTATGTTTGTAAAAAATCCACAATACATTACTAACCAGTATAATTTTTAAATGGAAAAAATCTTAAGTTCGGAAAAATTGAATAAAGGGCTATTTAATCTATTTTTCGTAAAATTATAAGTCACAATTTTAGAGAAAAAGTATGCTTGAAATAATTAAATGTGTATGCAGAGATGAATATAAATGTGTAGGCGTCGTTTATTATTTTATTTAAAACATTTTTTCTTGGTCTTTAAATTTTTAATGATTGACAATTTAAAACAAAAATAAAAGACGATGAACTTACATTTAATAGTAGACACAAGAAACTATTATAGGTAGGGTATATTTAATGTGTATCTATATTGACGTTCTGTTATGGTGTGCTACGAATTAACGCCATCTATTGATGTTTATGCGAAAAGCCAAGTCCAATTCTAAGTGTTGCTTGCTCACTTACGGCATCTAGCGCCGACTCAAGTAAGACAAAATAGCCAGAAGAATAACCCGAGTTAGGACGGTCACATTTTGATCTATGGGATGAAGCATCTGTATAGTTTATGTGTATCGGTGCTATTGTCAATAAAGTTACTTTGATTTTCTCTATTTGAAAACGAATGATAAGGTACGAAATCGAATTCGAATCAATAATCGTTCGATTCATAAAACCATAGCAGATAATAAAATATTGTAGTCCGGCTCGAAGGACCGATGTTTGCGTTTTGCTATCTCCCTAAACACTATTATTTTTGTAAATTCAGTAGTGCAAAGCAAACAATGAAGTATTTTTCTCTAGCATTATTTCTTTTTTTTTTACCAGGTGCGAAAATTGAGACGGGAGCTCGCCGACGCTAAAGAAAAAGTACACACACTGACAACTCAGCTGACGACTAATGTAAGTAATAGACCTAATTTGTTATCTATGCTCTTTCACTTTAAATATGTTAATGTCTTCTAAGAAAGAGGCTGATAATTAGGTTGGCCATTTAAAACCAATATGAAACAGTTCATAGCCCTTTTGTTGATTACAGCAAAACATTTCCTTCTTCATTGTTTTAACATTAAACACAACACATACAAATATAATGTATTTTAACATGTTAACGCTTGTGTAGAAACCAAATTATACGGAACATAAAGAACACATATGAATGCAAATATTTTGCAGTATCAAAATATGAAAGAATAGAAATGAATATAAGGCTAATTATTAGTTTTTGGGTTCGCACAAGTATTTTGCCTCGGGCTGCCAAGTTTAATTGAGCAGCTGCTGGTATTCATAAAAGTCTTTGATAGTCCAAAGTATTTTTTTTCATTCAAACTCAAAATTTAATAAATTTTTAAATTATAGAATTGTGTTCTATTATTATACGTCACATTTGCGTTGAATTATCCCAATGACTAGATTTGAATATGTTTTGGTTTTGATAGCATATAAACGTATCTTATTATCCCGAAACTCTTGTCGCCACTAAAAACAAAACAACAATAATTATTTGAATAATAAAACAATCACAAGAGTGCTCATAAGCAATTTTCTTTTGACAATTCACTCAACAAACAAATATTTTAATTTACACATAATTATTATGAACACCATAGTTGTGATGACGGTAATAATGACGCATAAATAAATCAAACAACTTCACAGTGTAACACAATACTTGATGTAGACAAAATAATGAAGTTAAAGTGGTCAATACACTGCCCACGCAGGTTTGATATCATAGTAAAAAAAAACACAAAGTAAAATGATTTAAGCAGTAAGTTATGTAAGTACATACCTACTTATACCATTTTCTCAAACCTTTTTTAAATTATTGTTTAATGAATAACATAATAAGACGATATATTTTAAGTTTTTTTTTTATAAAATTCTCAATTAATGAAAGTAAATTCTTACTTTGATAACAAACGTCACGTAACTATAGTAACTTATCAATATTCAATTTTTTCGTTCGAAGGTAGACAATCCTATAAAAATATCTACTTAATATTTTGAATGTACACCTGTAAAATTTATTAATTATAACCCTTCCGGTTTTCTTTCATGAACAAAAGTAAATTAAATTTCAAAACGCAATAAACAACTCACATTTTATATGTACTTTTTCGTATTTGTATTGATATCTAAGGTTCGAACTTTGCAAATTTCAGTTTTTAATATGTTAGTTAAAAGGAACGGAAATGACTATCTTCAGTCCATTCGTTTCCTGCAAAAATCAACTTTTGCTAGAGTCGCTATCTAATTAAGTGCTTTTTTTTAGTGCTTTCTTTTTTTTTAAATACTTCCTCATTGTGTTAGATACTAATTCGATTCGCACTAGCTAATTATCGTGCTATGGGTTATTATCAAATTTAAACTTTCTGTAACCGAGTTTAAATTACTCTCTAATTTATAATCAATTGCTGATATTTAACTTTTGTATCTTGTTTTTAAGTTTTAAATGGAAATACTTATTTCTTATACTGACCCGACCCTTTAACGAATATAGGTTGTAGATTCGTTGTTGGACTTGTTAATGTCACCTCACGATGGCGACATAATGGAATTTCTACATTCGATTATATACTTACTATAAGATCAGTTAGTTTCATATCAGACTTTCTTGAAGAAGAAGACTATTAAAATTAAACAAAGAAAGTTTAAATATTCGGTCGTTCACCATATATATATATACATACATGTTTTTTACATTTATAATTAGTTCAGCTAGTTTAATAGTAGCATAAAACATTTGCAGGTACATAACATTCTCAGATAACGAAGTTATATTTTTTAACTTAATTACCGTTGTTTAAATAATATATGTAAACATAAATCAACAGTAGTCTCCGCACTGCACGTTACAAGATCATAATAAACTTTAATGAGTTGAGTTTCTGGTTTTGACTACGTTTCGTGGAACTGTTACGTAAGATCCTTCCAATTTTGTGGTTACACAGCTCGCACCATGGTGGACAAGAGAATTTGACACTTCATCTTTTCAAATTACTTTCACTAGCGTTATATGATACTTTTACTGGGAATATTGATATCGTTATGTAGAAATCTGAGTAATATTCTAACCGTGAAATCCCATTGTGTTTGAACACTATTAGTAAAATTCAATGAACAATGAAAACATAATTCGATACTCTATTCATTTTAAATTATAACGTTTCTTGGAAAGCTTTTAAAAGCTCTTAAATTAAACGTTTAATGACTCTTATAATGTAGATGCCATACCATATACGAACTCGCCAGAGGCAAAATTTACTTAATAGCTATTGGAAAGAGATGTTCAAAAGTTTCTAAGTCATTATCGTTATCGTAATAATTATTATCGTAGTAGGGCGTCTTCTCCACATCATTTAAAATAGATCATAACTCTAGATGAAGTGTCTTATAGGAAAACAATAGATAAATAACAACTGTAGCATGTTGTTTAATATGTTGAACCAAAATCGCTTACGCATGATGCATAATAGCAAAAAAATGTATCCGGCATATACCCAAGTACATAATGAATGATGTGCGTTTGCATTTCGGATAATATAAGGTGGTAAACATTCCTTGGGGAATTTCCTTTTCAATAATGAAAACTATATCGAAATCCGTTTCGTAGTTCAAGTAGAAGTCAAAAGCCTTTTTTTTGTTCGTCGGGGAATCCTTGCTTCCTGGCGAGCGGGTGAGCGACGGGGGGTTTGTGTGGAACTCTGCTACGTTAGCGGAGGCCTATCCACCAAAATCCCTACATTATTGACACCAGGACGCAACTCCCTTAACCAGGATTCTTGGTACCCTCGCGGGGATGAGTGAAAATGGAATGACATACTGACAGCAACTTTAATGATTGCAGTATTTACATTTTTGCAAATTTCAAGTTACATAAGAATATTTATTAGAACTCATTAGATTAGGAAGTGTGCAATCTAACAAACATGTTAATATGTAACGTGATATCTGATTCAATAATTTATTAGCAACTGGCGTACGGGTGTTATTTATACGTAAAAAGTTCACGTTTAGCATAATATTTTCTTATTTTAACAAATAAACAAAACCTACCTCAAATACCTACCGAATTCCTCTCATTATTGAAAAAACACAATCTGCCCCCTTACTCTCGAACGCAATCGCGACCGATCGACATTGCAATTGTGCCGTTCTATACTCTTGATTGGGTACACTAGCGCCAGAGTATGCTAGTGAGCCAATCAAACGCGCGGAGCGGCACAATTGCAATGTCGATCGGTCGCAATTGCGTTCGAGAGTAAGGGTGCTGTTCGGCATTTAAAGATGATTGAATTTAATTTTTTAATACACAGGTTGAATAAATATTCAATAATTTTGGTCGAGGTAAGTTTGTTAGAGGTCGATTATCTATTATCTAAGTTTTCTAAAATCCGTGAATGGAGTTCAATATTATCTTAAAAATTACGTATTTAAACGTACGAACGATTTCATGTTTCAATAACTAGGTATAGTTACAATAGTCAATCAGCCTTTAGTGTTCAAAAGAGTCCATGCTGTACAAAGAAGCTCTTGAAGCTAAAATATATATAAATTAAACTTTTATTTCAATAACAAAGAAAGCCTATGTATTTGTAACAAAAGG